AACAAAATATCAGAATCTAATAAATGTTTCACTTATTAGAAAATAGAAATATAAATTGAAAAAAGAAATTATCTTTAAAAAAAAAATTTAAATAAAAAATAAAAGATACAAAATATTGCAAATTACATAAATAGTGATAAACTTATTCGGCACAAGCTCGCTAAATGTAAACAGATTGTACTGTCAGAAAGCTCCCCTTGTCACAGAAATATACTGTTCATCGGGTTTAAAGGTTATTCAGACTAATGTGCGAAGTTCAGTGAGTAACTTGTATTTTCCTTTGAATGTATAAACTAGCCAAATTGAGCCAATTGAAAATTTAACAGATCACTTGACAATTAGATGCAAATTTAACAGATGGGAGCACTTGACAATTAGATGCAAATTTACAGATGGATTGAAGGAACCCTACTAACGTACCACTTTGTGTAAGCATTTTCGTGGATTAAGGGTATGTAAATATGAGCCCATTTTCCTTAGAATATTCTCCATGAAATCATGCCTAGCCAACCCTCATATTTTTGCATATCAACACAAAATCATTCTTAAGATGATTAATTAATTAATTTTATGTTAGATGATACGAGCTTTTCAAAAACTAAGATGCTTCCGTAAACAATTAGTATTAATAAGCGCTGTTCAACTGGAATTGGGTTGGATATTTGTTTATAACAGTGCTTTTCAGCCGACTTACATGTACCTGTATGTATTGCTCAGAGGAGGGTGGAGGAATTCCTGAATGAAAACAATGTAATAATGAAATGTTAATAAAACAAATAAATATAACTTTCCGTATCTTATGTAATTGTCTCCATTCTGAATACCATGTGATCATTATTTCTGATATAATGATACTGAATGAGACCTAAAAACACTTTTTTTAAAAAATATATCTCCCCTTATGATCCCTGACACAGCTGTTTACTTTCCCCTTCCTTAATTAAGGTCAGTCAGTCTCCTGCTCTCTTGACCCCATTTGCCAAGCCACCAGGAATTATAAGCCAAATAAAATAAAAACATCTGCCCTGAAGATAAGAATAGTGCTGACAGATCAACTTCCAATTCATTGCAGGCTGTAGCATTAAAGATAAACGTTAAAGTTTAGATAAACAAAGGATATGCCTTTATCCATTTTTTGCAGCAATTCCACTTTTTGTTTAATGGACTTCGAAACATTCTTTCGCTTTGTTGATCCTTTACATATTAGTAAATATATATCAGAAATTCTATTTGACATAATCAAAAGTTCAAGCTTACTTTTATAAAATTGCTCTAACAGTCTGCAAAAAATAATAAGCCGAATCCAATTCGAAGATTAAGGAACAACGCAATCTGCAACATTAACTGAATTAGATAATTTTAGCTTAGCTTATACCGTCCGTTATGCATTAAATGTGCATTCGTAAACGTATTTTGTGCACACGCATATTCGCAGCCGTAAAGGTCTTACGCGCATGCGTCAACGCGATGCATGCGCAGAAAGTTTGTAGCTTTGAGGTCCGGATTATGGGTGTCCGAATTAACGACTTTTGACGTACTAACTACCAACTTCTCCATGTTCATCCATCCAAATCTGTGCATCAGCTCTCTTTGTTCCCTGGACAGAAACATAAATACTTCTGAGATATCTTAGGCTCATAGTGTTGTGTTTCATGACAGTCTTGCTCAGCTTCATTGATTGGTCACATTATCTTTAACTTATTTATTTCTTTTTAGCCAAATGAAGATGAGCATCAGAAATCCCACTTTTATCCAGTGAACTAGCTTAGACTGACTCCCAGATGGTCATCATTAGAAACTGAGGAAAAAGTCAAATAGCACTCTGAAACTCATTGGCAACCATATGAATTGTGTTATTGTCAACCACTTTCAGTGTCAGTCATTTTGGCATTGTAACTTTGACACATGACAAAATATGTCATTTTAATTAGCGAAGCTGTAAAAGAAAAGACAAAGCCTGATATGTATAGAAAAAAGGTTTTTTATATATTTGGTAAACAGTGTCAGTTAATCGTGAACCCTCAAAGTTAATGAAAAAATTAATTTTAAAGTATTGTGCTCAATTCACTTGTTTGTAGGTAATAACTGCTCTAGTCTACCCAGCAAGAGGCAAGAGAGTTGTATTTTATGATTTTCAATCAAATATACAAAGCAAGTTTAACAGGTAACTCCAGTCTTACCCACCCTGAAGTTTAAACATAGCTGCTTTATATCATTATTTATTTCAATCAATGCAACGTTTCTTGATTGATATAAAAATTCAAAACTTTTGATGATGTGTAATATAGTATTCACCATATTTGGGATCTTAAAAAACCATTATCACAACAGTATAGTTTGCAGATCAGAAAAGGGCAATGATAGTGATTGCATTGTTGCTTAATTTTAAGTGCTTTGCATGTGTTATTTTCAGTGTTTATTAAGTTCATTTTTAAATAAAAAAATTTTTTAAAGCTTTCAGATTTTACATTTCGCCTAAAGGGGTATTTCTTTAACGTTTTGTGTGTTACCTTTATTTATTAAATATTATGCTCTTTGCACTTAAACCATAAAATTCAATTCAACAGCAATATCACAAAATAATTTTTAAATGAGCAAAGCTTTAGAATTTCTGATGTACCGTCTAGTGCGTTGGAAAAAAAAAAAAATAAATAAATAATTAAAAAAAAATTCCCACAGTGTTGCAATTGCTCGCTTTGAAATCGTTAAGTTTGTTAATCAAAAATTCGTTAAAGTGTTACAAAATATGAAATCTATAATAAAACAAATTTCAAATTCGGGCTTCCAGATGACCATATTTGGTAGAAGATTACGTTATTCAAAATTTGATGGTTCTAGGTACCATGGTTTTATTCCAATGCAAGAAACATGCATACATTTATGGAGATTCTTCATTATTTAATTTCTTTAAATATAAACACATGGTGATAATATTTGGTGGCAACAATTTGAAAAGTGACCCAACGCAAAATGTCAAAACGAAATTAGTCATTCAAGGCAAATTGCCCCTTTGGACAAAGTCTTTTATTTAAAATATTCTTCCAACAGTATTATTATTATTATGCCCACATTATATTTCAAACTATATGCAGGAGAATTCCAATAATTCCAATGAAGACTAAATAAATTCCAATTTACAAATTCGTAATTTTATTTTTATTAGTAATTTTTTGTATCGCAGTTTTATGCGTATCCACTACTATTAGCCATTGCTTGTAAAGCAGTTTTTTCATGCCAATTTTTCTTTCACTATTTAATTACTTTTAAAACTTTTTCTAAAACAGTTACTTTCTAAGCAGTTTTTAAGCTCTGAAATGAGAGAAAATAATGGGAAAATGCACTTTTGATGAGGATCATTAGAATAAATTTTTTCTGAAATTGAATCTCGTGCTCATTCTGCCATAACCTTCCACACATGTGCAGTTGGATTAATAATGCTATTAAACAGCTAATAAAAATATGAAAATTAGCTAGAACTGAAATTTAAGATGTATTAAAAAACAATGTATCTGTTCTTTAATCTCATCTTCTTTACCATATTTTCCTCTCTCTCTCCCCTTTTTTTTTTTTTTTTTTTAAAGAATCTGTCCTGGTTTGCCGCTGAGATAAAACAAACTTACTTTTTGTGCAGAATGTAAATTATCTAGCAACAAGATTAATTTAAGCTAAAACTCAACATCTGAAAAATTGTAAACAGAAAATTTTCTGAGCATGTTAACCATGTAAATTTAAAATAAATTTTAAAAGACAATGTAATATATACTCAAAACTCAGGATTTATGAAAAACAAAAATTTGCAGGGATTCACAATCTCTGTGTAGTATAAAAAGAGGGGGCTGATATGCAAACAGAAACTGCTAAATAGTTTCAGTATAAAATAAATTTGATTCTTCAAACAAAATATTATTTTTGTTAATTATATACATATAATTAAATACAGCTGTTAAATTTGCAGTACTAATTTTTTTGAAAATTGTAATTTAGTTTGTTTGCATCCAAAAATGAGCATGGATTAAGCAGATTATCAGAATTCAGCTGTATACTAGAAATTTGCAATTCAATTATTATTTAGTCTAATACATCTACATAATTTTGATTAAGATATTTTCAATTGCTAAAAAATTATTAATGTATATTTAACTTTTTATAGGTAATGATAAAATAGAAGATGAGAAACTGGGAGAACTGAAGTCATGTGAAAATGATGTTCTATGTGATAATGTCTCTGAAAGTGCTAAAATGTCGTCAGCTTCAGCAAAAATAAGCGACAATGTTTCAAACAGTGCCTTAATAGTTCATACTTTATCAGATTTAGAAAATAACCCAGGTGACAAAAATTTGGTGTTTGTGTATAAATTAGGGTCTAAAGAAAAATCTAGTGAGAAAGTCTTTAATTCTTATGAGAATAAAAGACTAATTAAATTAAAAAAGCAGATGTTTTTAAAGCATAATATTTTAAATGGGAAAAATTCTGTAAAAAATAAGTTAAAAGAAATGAAACATGATAAATCTTTATTGGCCCTCTGTTCCTTAAATAATGTAGAGAATTCAGCTGCAGATATCTCATCTGCTCCTCTTTTATCTTGTCGATTTTGTCAGACAGAATTTTTCTCTTTGAAAAACTTTGAAGACCATAAATGTGAAAGTATAAACTATATTTGGAATCAAAGTGTACATAAATGCAAGCTGTGTTCTATGGAATTCACACAGAAACATCATTTAGATAGGCATTTGAATGGCCATACCAGAAATAACTGCACAATATGTAATGCACAATTTACCAAACGCAAAGCTCTTTGTAAGCATTTAAAGACTGATCACAGTATTTGCGAACCAGAGAAATTGTATCATTGTTCTTTTTGTGAGAAACATTTTTCTAAGAGACCTTCTCTAAATGCGCATTTAAAACAACATGCAGAGGGTCAATTATTATGCATAAAATGTGGTTTTATGTGCAAAAATGAAAATGTTTTCAATGATCATATGAAAGATCACTTAAAAAATTCAAAATATGAATGTATGCTTTGTGAAAAAAAATTTGTACGACGTCAACAGTACAATCAACATATGATGGGACATGAAAGGCATGTCTGTTCTCTATGTGATATGACATTTTCAACAAAAAAATTATTGCTTAAGCATCAACAGTCTACACATGATGCTCAAGTGACAGAGAAAAAGCATGAATGCCCAGTTTGTAAAAAGTTATTTCTTCGTCCTAAGCATCTGCAAATTCATCAAAGATGTCACACAGGAGAAAAACCTGTTAAGTGTTCTCATTGTGAAAAAAGCTTTTGCAATGACAGAGCACTTTCCAAGCATATGAAAACTGTGAGACATCTGCAGCGTGTAAATGTAGATGAAGGCAAAAATGTTGAAATTGAGAAACCCTTTCTATGTGCAGAATGTGGTGCTACATTTTATCGCCAACAGAGTCTTCTACGGCACATTGAAATACAACATACAACTAGTGAGTCTCTGAAGTGTGAGCACTGTGAGTATAGTACAAAATGCAAAGCAAATTTAAAACGGCATTCTGAACTTCATACTGATAAAAGACGTTTCATATGTGAAATCTGTGGTTCTTCTTTTCGGGCTTTAGCAACCTTAAAAGAGCATCATGTGTATGTACATTCTGAAAATAGGAGTTTTGTGTGCACTATCTGTAATAAAGCTTTTAAAAGTAAAAGTAGTTTACAACGTCATTTGCGAATTCATAGTGAAGTAAGACCTTATAAATGTCATTGTAGTAGAGATTATAAAAGAATGTCTCACCTTAAGCGGCATATGATTTCTGCTCACTGCATGACCTTTAAAAGAAATTTTAGCTCTAAAACTGAAGAATCTTCAGATGCAGAAATAAATATTGGCAACCAGAATGCAACACCTAATGAAATGGAAATGGCTGAAGTTCTACAAAAGCAGTCTTCTTCTAGTAATGATTTTCCTTTGTTTATTTCAACTAATTATTTATTTGATCATGAAAAACTAAGTGAGATTGTCATAGATAAAAATATTGATGAAGAACATATTTCTTCAACTCCAGTTGAAGAAGATAATTACACGAATGTGCCTTCAAAAAATATGCAAAGTTTTCTTGCTAAGCCTGGTGATAATATTTTAACTAATAATTCTGAAAATGCTCTTATGACCTTCATTTCTCAGTCAGATGTTCATTCACGGCAAGTTTCTTTGCCGTCACCATCAGCAAATAGTAAAGATAGAAATTCTGTTTCTTTAGATGATTCTAATTTAAATTTATCACCTAGTAGTTATTGTAATTTTAGTTTGTCTTCTAGCTCCCTTAGTTCATTTATTGAAACTGTACCTTCAAATCTGCAACCTCAAAGTACTTCACATGGTGTTTTAACTCTAACATCATCTCAAGATAACCTCAATCGACCACATTCCTTACCAAATTTAAATTTTGAAAATCAGGCTACAAATATTGATTCATTTGCCCATTTCGCATTGCATAATAGAGACTCACCTTCACCATCAGTTTCAATTTCATCTTTCTTGCTGAATGAAATGCCTTCTTCTCCACAACTTCCAGATTTGAACTTAGAACACAACACTTCAACAAAGCAGTTATTTGAAGATACTGATGATATACTTACCATGCCACAGTACACAACAAATAGTAATTTAGGTGTAACAGGTAGCCCAACACATCTTTTCAGTCAATCAAGAAATACAGATTTTTGGGATCATGATACCAGCAATAGGCTTAAAATGTCAGGCAATGATGTAATTGCATCAAATTCATGTGCCAATATTGTTTCATCCATGACAAACTTTTCAAACATGCCTCCTAACACAAACAATATTTTGTCTCATAATTTAATATTTTCTAATGATTCATTAAATTATGCAAATTCTTCTGACTTTGAAATTGTCTGATGTACAGATGTACATTAGTTATTAATTTAAAGTTAGCTATGAGATGTTGATATAATTAAAAGCTCTTTGTAGATAATAATACCTATACATTAAAAAATACACATAAACTTGAGTAATACTGATTATCTTTCTTAAAATTTACAGATGATATATGAAAGTTTCAGAAGCATGATGGTCCAATTCCAAAATTCCCAGGCATAAATAGAAGGGCTAGCTCATTTCTTTGTTCGACTCCTCGCCGATGCGAGCCTAATGGGGGGATGTAACAGGCAATAATGTGACGTCACTGTGATGCCACCTGTCCTGATTTCACGCGTTTTAAAACAGTATTTCTTGACTGCGAGACGATTTCTAGAGTTACTGTCCCAAATTAATTTTAAATATATATCTGTTCTAATATGTATATTTAAAATAATTTTATATATGTAATTTAGTCAGTTTTTTTTTAAATTCTTTATTGTAAAGTATCATTTCGTTATGGCTTTTTGCGCTGCCGTAACGTGCCGTAGCACTTACAGAAGTATGAAGGATGAGATATTTTATTTCATGGGACCAAAGGATCCAAATGAGAGTTTGCTTTTGACGAAAACTGGATACACAAATGTCAAAGAGAAGATTCTATTAATGTGAAGAGCGGAAAAATCTGCAGCGAACATTTTCTATGCAGTGTTTATGAGATGATATGAAAAATCGCTTGTTTTGGATACCACAAAAGAAACTGTTGAAATGGAATGCTGTGCCGAAATTAAAGTGCAAAAATAAGTCGAAATTGATGATACAATAATAAATCAAATGTTAATGATTATTGAAACAAAACTCGCAAATGAAAATGTAGATATTTCTGAATGTCCTAAGTTTAAGGATAAACAAGAATGCATTGATAATTTGAAAAACAAAATAATATCCTTAGAAAGTATTAAATTGTATTAAAGTATTGAAAATAGAGAAAAGAAAAATTTTAGAATGTTTGTTCAGTGACAAAGAAGGTGAACGACATCTAAAAAGAAATTGGTATCAGAAATTAAAATCTCAAATAGCGAAATTTCGGGGGGCATAAATTCAGAGAATTTGGAAAAACGTCTAAAGCCTTTTATTCTTATATAAAGACGCAGATTAATGCATTGTTGAAAAAGAAGGAAAAAATCAAGGTGGACTAGTGAAGATATTTCACATTGCATTGTCATAAAGAGCTCTGTCATCTTAAAGCTATTATTTTTGGAAAGGAAAAAATTGGAATATCTTTACCTAGTATTATCAAATTAAAGAATGGTGTTTATTTTATTTTTTAGTGTTTTCTAAATTTTAGTGTAGTCCAAGAATTCAAAGTAATGTTCTTACTCTAAAGAAGAAAGAGGCGAATATTTGTATTCTGTAGGAAAAATAGCTTTCTCAGTTTCAACGAAATGCATATAGATTGAAACTCTGCTATGACTCTAAACTGGACTAAGATGGTTCTTTCAAAATGTGCAGTTTGTTTTAATCAGAGGTCTCATTTTCGCGCTCTGCCTCAAATTACTGAGAAACCGCGTTTTAGATAGAGGATTTGTTTTAGAAGATTTAACTGTTTTAAATTTTGATATTATTAAAGAGGTTTTAAATAGGGATTGAGAAGAATCAAATTGTGTCACAAACTAAAACCAAATTATTTAATGGTCAAGGGAAACGAGAGACAAAAAGTCGCTCCAGCGAAAACATTATTTTCAAGAACTACCGCAAAAGGATATACTTCACCTCACCGGAAATCAAAAAGCATCTGACTTCTATGAGTTAATCGTTAATCGATAATATCTTCGGTATTACGAATAGTACCAAAATAGCACCAACAAGAATAACAAGTACTTAACAAACTAATTTTGTTAACGTACTTGTAAAGTTTTTCTTATAAATATTATATTAAAGTTTTCTTCCTTTGTAACTAGATTATGCTGATTCGATAGATTTGTTGCTAGATAGATTAAATTAGAACGATTAGCGTTCTAGATAAAATATAATAAGTATAAAACCATCAAAGTAATTGGCATAAAAAGACCTGCCTTCCTTTACTCACACTTTTGAAAATTAAATAACTGTTTTAGGTACTCTGAATAAAGCTATTTTGTCAAAATTAAGGTAACAATCTTATATACATTTATTTAATTGTAATATAGATATAAGTATAAATTACAAAATTATTTAAAAAATATCTATTATATTGAATCGGAAGAGAATATAACAATGTAAAATTTACAATTAGGCAAAAAATCAACGTAGGTTAGCAGAAATGTTGCCATATATGTCATATATGTTTAAACCTACGTCAATGTAAAGTTGTTTTTTGAGTAAATTTAAATAGCTGCTATTATAGTTATCTTAGAAGCAGTATAAAAATTCTCTCAGTTAGCATGCAAATAAAGAAATGATTAGAAATAAACGTGCGTTAAATACAAAAACCTGCAAATAAAAATTAAAAAAACCACGGAACTTTATGTTAAAAGAGTAGCACATTTTATCTATTATTTTAAAATTGAGTAAGCATTTATTAAATTTTTTAATGGTTCAGTCTAAAAATGCATAAAGCAGTAACATTGCCTCTTCCAAATTATAGCTATCTTTCACACACAGCTCATTTTGAATGCTGGTTCAAAAAACGCTAATTTCCAAGCTGTGAATTATATTGGCGCGCTAAGTGTCATCATGGCTACGTCATCACTTCTCACTTTCTGCTTCAGGGGGAAATGCTCTATGAGCTAGCCCTTCTCTTCTAAGTCCTGAAAATTCCACTGTTTTAAATTATATATTGTTAAACATAAATATTTTTTTCTGTACAAGAATTTCTTCACTTTATGTAGAAACCTTCATATATTTCTCCCATACTACTTACATTCCTGTACTTTATTCAGTAAATTATGGAATCGTGAAGTATATCAGTAACAACATATCTGTTCAGCAATTCAACCAAAATTTCTATTTCTGGAATCACCGTCCTCTGCAGCAAAATATTCTGCTTAACTACCTGTTATTGTGATATACATTTTAATGATATGTTGCTTTACAATACATTTTTTTTACATTATGGCAATAAAGCTTATTGAGTATTTATTTTTTTTAGTATAAGTTATTTGGCATTGATGTTTTTCATAATATTTTTTCCATTATATTGTTGCATGTATATGGGTTTGTAATGCATACAAGGTGAGACCAAAAAGTAAGGTGATTGATGTCATACTAATAACTGTATTATATATTTACATATAAATACATCATTGTCCTTCAAAGTATTTACCGCCATCTACAATACACTTCTGACAACATCCATACAAGTTCTGGAAACTTTTGAAAAAGTTCCCTTTGAGACTGTGGTAAGTTCCTTGGTAGTGGCTTGAATGTCTGAGATGCTTGAAAATCGGTGTCACTTTAGTGCCAATTTTAGTCATGGAAAGAGGAAAAAGTCTACTGGTACAAGATCAGGGCAATACAGAGGGTGAAATATTTCCGTAACTTTTTGCTGGGCGAGGAACCGTTTAATACACATTGCAGTATGAGTGCGGAAACCACTTGCCTGATGCAGCGAAATGAGGCCAAACACGACGAATGCGAGCCAGGAGGCACTTCATAACAGGGTAATAAAATTCACCATTAACTGTTTGACCTTCCGGTACGTATTCTTTATGGATACGTGCATCGAAAAAGGTAATCAACATTGTCTTAGCCTTTGATTTTTCAAAACAAAATTATCTGGATTTCGGCAATGAGGGACCGCGCCATTCCATGCTTTGGCATTTCGTTTGTGAATCATAGGCGAAACACCACATTTCATCTCCTGTGACGATTGACTGTAAAAATGTGTCATCTTTATCTGCTGCATTGATGAAGTCACCACAGGTGTCCAATCACTGCTGTTTTTGTTCATTGCTTAAGTAATGAGGGACAAACGTGGCACAAAGTTTCCATTTACCCAAATCCTGCGTCAATATTGTTCAGACGATTTTTTGAGGAAGATTCAATCCATTTGCCATTATTCAGATGACAAACGGCGATCTTGCAGCAATAACTTCCTAAGTTTTTCGACCTTTGCCATCTTTCTACTTGTCAACGGTCTTCCACTGCAATGCTCATCCTCTACACTTTCATGACTTTCACGGAAAAGGTTGAACCACTGAAATGCTGTCTTGCGAGATAAAGTTTCTTCGCCATACAAACTTTGAAGCATTTCCAAGGTTTCCGTAGTAGTTTTATCCATTTTAAAACTGAATTTACGATTCGTTTTCTGCTCCATTACACAATGCACTAACACCTTTCACATTTAAGCAACTGCACAAACAAACAAGAAACTTTGCAAATGACCCTGAACTTCAACATTGCATAATGCTCATGTGTCAGGTCATCGGGTTGTTCTCATTTTCAAAAGGAGGGTTGACTCACCTTACTTTTCAGTCTCACCTTATAGAATGCACACAGAATTGATGATAGCTTGATAAAATTTATTTTACAAAAAGAATACTTCACAGTTCTGGAAATTTCCACAAAAATACTCGTACAACTCTTCACAGTATCACAGAGTACAACAAGTAATTACACTTCAAACTGCTAAGAACATTAAACAAAATGCAATGCAAAGCGCATCTAAAGAACAAAACTCACACAAAGCTATCTCAGTACTCCAAACTCATGCTGAATTAAACAACTGCTCAGAAACTGATGCTGTCCCCAGTCTTATATAGTTTTCTCTCAGGCATCGAGAGATTTCTAGTACCTTCCGCGTCTCGAAATTACAGAAAGGCGTATGACGGCCATATGCATTTAGAGCTATATATCTATATTAATTACAATACCCATTACACTTACACAAGAACCAGACTAAAATGTCCCAAACTTGTCAACCATTATGGTATTTCTCGCCAAATTTCATGACAGAAGTTAATCTCCAAAACCATTGCCATGCTGGCAATATTTCTCCAATTCAGCAAGATGCTCATTTACTCAACATTGAATAAACTTGCCTCTCTGTTCTTACTTTTCCGGCAAAACTTTGTTTCTTTAGATTTTCATGTTACGTTATACAAGAAATACTACAGTTTTACATATAATTTCACTAAAATTATTTACACAAATTTTGTACACATTTGTAACAATATGATAACCATATGTATATCATAATATAAAATATGATGTGATGATTTGTTTATGTGCAATTTGTATTGAATTTTTGATGAATCGCAGTAATATTATGTATATGGTTAATTCAAAAGCATAAACCTTATCTAGTCAAATGTTAAAAGCATAGAGTATCATAGTATAATATATCTGGGAATATGGCTACCATAATTTCAGGCAGTTCTC